GGGGGGGGGGGGGGGGGAAAGGGGGGGGGGGGGGGGGGGGGAGGGAGAAAGGAAGGAAGCCAAACCCTTCTTTGTTGCGTATCTAAAAGGTTGAACACCTTCTTTAACTACTTTTTGGACCGACCCTCTTCGGTGACAACTGCGGGTATGGATGACCCACTTCTCATGCGCAGTCGATCTTGTTTTCTTGAAACCACGATAGCAACAACAAATGAGTGTGCTCCAGCCGAGCCCCAACGGTCGCTAAACATTCTCCTTTCTCGGTGTTTTGGTGGGCCTCAACGCTTCGTATCTGTCTTGAAACACTGCTTGCAACACTCAACATAGGTGACAATAGAGCAACGCGGCGTTGATTGTGGATACACACGTGTTTTTGTCACTGCTGTTGTGGATAAATTACGCGTTTACTCCCGTTTACTCTTTCAAGAGCCTTGGGAATCATCGACGAACGGGGATGTCCCCGCAATAAATTCATGAAAATAATTCAACAATTTTGTGCATACACGATGCTGTATACCTAAACCAGCAACAGCCAAGGCATGTCATCACTCGTGGGGGGTTGATGCAATGGCGCAATCACGGGGAAGGGGGGGGGTATCAGCGAAGGAGTTCGATTCGGCCTTTATCGCTTTACGCGGTCTGCCTCTTGTCGTTTGCTTTCTTCCCTCGCCGTCTCGTCCGTCTGCTGCCCCCCTCTCGCTCCCTTAGTTGTTGTCATATCTGTACTGTTGCTGATCTCCTTGTCTCTTCTCAGCGCTCGTCGCCAGCAATACTCCTCCTCATCCTTGTGCCAGGCGGTCATACACCTCTCAGCTCCTTGCCGTACCCCCGTATGCCATGGTACCCCAACGCTCCACCTTCGCTGCTTCCGTCCAAACGAATTTCGGGACTCCGAACACACACCGCTCGTCGTCCGTGGATCCGTGTGTAGCCTCAACGCCTTGAAATCGTCCTCCAGGCACATCAGCCAGTTCTGCTCCGGGCATCCCTTGCGTGGGTTCTCCCCCCCGCACCACTTCGCCGAACACCAGCCGTTTCGGGAGTCGCCCGTCCGGCTGCCTTGCCAATGCTCCCACGAACAATAGGTGCCGTTGCCGAACAGTGGCTTCCACGCTCTTAAGGTCTGGGCGTAGGAGAGTTGCCCGTAGGTGCCCTTCTTACGCCGGTACCCGATAACTCGCAGAGGAAGCCGGTGGTGTATCGACAGCAACAGCCGGTAGTGGTCGCGACGTGTCATGCAACCGTACAGCAGCGCCTCCATCGCCTCCGCCTGGAGCAGGCGCGTCTTGAGTCGAAACGGCGGTGCTTTCGGTCTATCGAAGAGCTCCCGGCCATATCTCCTGACCACAACCACGCTGCTCTGCTCCTGTAGTTGATCTCGCGGGTGAGGTTACCATGTTCGTTGATGAGGCCACCTATTCAGGTGCCGGAACTCGGTCGTCTGGGCGTACCTCTGTCCCGCTGCTTCGATGATCAGCGGTGACAGCGGTGACGGTGGGGGCCGCGGTGTTGGCTGGTCCTCCTCCTTTACGCGCACCAGGAGCGTCTGCGTCTTCTTCTCCGACACCGTCAGCCCGAACTCCCACAACACTTCCACGATGACGGCCATCATTCTCGTCAGTCCGTCAGCGGACTTCGATACACCGCCGGCGTCATCGGTATACAGCATCCCGCGTACCGCCCTCCGCACTTGGTCAAGTGGTGTTCCCTGCCAGGCCCCAGATTCCTCCAACAGGTGCACCAGGTTCCGTAGAATAACATCATCCTCGCTGAATCGAGTGATAACGACCTCCAGAGCTGCGGCGAAGAAGATGCTGAATAGCAGTGGGGAAACCACACACCCTTGTCGCAAGCCCTTTGTCGTCCATGCGCACCGGGGCTCGCATTCTGTCGTGGAATTAGGGGATGACGGTGATCATCTCCGCGGGAATCCCGGCCCTGGCCAGCACCTTCCACAGCAGCTCTCGATCCACCGAGTCAGAGGCCTTCTGCAGGTCAATGAAGCACATGCAGAGCGATATTTTCCTTCTTCGCCCCAGCTCCTGGAGTCAGAGAACGACGAAAAATATCATGTCGACGGTCGATCGCCCAGGTCGGAACCCGCACTGTTTCTTGGAGGATGCTGTTGGCTTCCCAGAAGGCGCTTAGACGGTTGGGGATGATCTTCATGCGGACCTTGTCTACGTGAGATAGCAGCGAGATCCCCCTGTAGTTGTTATAGTTGGACCAGTCACCCTTCTTATACAGCACTTTGATCGTCGCGCGGGATCTCTCCTCCTCTCCACACCTTACCGAGACTGGCATGGAGGCGCCCCAGCACGATGGGTTCATCGTCATCTATCTTGAGCAACTCGGCAGGCAGGGAGTCATGGCTGGGTGCTTTCCAAATCTGCAGGCCATTCATTGCCTGTTCCGTCTCCTCGAGGTCTGGCGCCGGTCCGTAGTGGCACGTGTTGCCGGTCGCTGCGTCAATTGCTCGATGACGTCTGGGTTCAGGGTGGGGCACTTGGTGTTGAGGACGGTGCCGAAGAATCTCGCCCACCGCCGGAGGATATCACCTTTGTTCCGGAGCAGCACGCCAGTCTCGTCTCTGACGAGAACTGCTGTCCCCCCGCTTGTCTCCCATTGAGGCCCACCGATCTCTTGAGGTGTTCGTAGAGTCCATTAAAGTCTCGCTCCTTGTAGATCGCTTCGAGCTCCGTCACATATCTGTCCAGGTGGGCGTAGACGCCCGTTTCGACTGCTGCAGCCATTCCCTTAACACGCTGCTTTGATGATCCTCCATGCTGCTGAGTTCCGATTGCCCTTCATCGCGCGGGGCGCTTCCCGCCGCTTGGTAAGGGCCTCCTCCAAGGCTGCTCTCGTCTCTGGGGCCTCACACCACTCCTGCGTGTGTCGTCTCCGCGGTTCTTCGGGAAGTATGGCCCTCGCCGCTTCGAGGAGAGCATTGGTGACCGGGGTGATGGTCGTTTGCTCGCCCAGTCGTTGGTCGTGGCAAGGAGCCCTCCATGTGGAAACCATGGAAACCCCCCCCAGATTGCGTGTCAATCTTGGTCGCGGGGGGGGGGGGGG